GCTGCTCTGCCTACGTACAAGTTATACTGGAGAAAAGGCACATATGGGAGCCAGAAGTTAGAGCCCAGGCTATGAGTAGATGACTGTAGTGTGCATTAGTCGGACTCTACTGACTTGGAAGGGTGCTTGAAGACTTAACACTCCACTTGGTAAAGTGACCTGCAGAGACTGTCCCTTGGAGAGCAGGAACTGCAAAATTTGCATTACTGAGTCTCGTCTGCTAGCCTGAATTTGCATGTTATGCCCATAGCCCTGAGCAAACAGCATAAGGACAATTCTGTAAGTGCCTTCCATTGTTCTGAACTTCTCCTGACCACTTCCAAAACACACAGGTTGGGTCAGGCATTCACATAAGGGTGATCACAGCTGAACGCAGTAGAAGGTAAGAAACACCATTGGCAGACCCAGTGATTCTATACCAAGAACGGGAAGCAATAAATGAAATTACACTGTCTCTTCTTGAACCATAGAGGTCGCTACACTCTCTTCTCTCTTGTCTAAACGTGCTCTGAGCATGTGTTTATATCCTACTACAAGGAAACACTATTGGTAAATGAGATGCAATCGGAAGTTGATTCAGAAAGATGTTGTAAACACAGCCTGAAGTACATGTCCTCCCCACGCACTAAATTACACTTCAGTACAGATATCCGTGGGAGTTAAGCCTTTCATGTTTGGTTTAAATAGGAGGTTTCGCTAAATATTTAGTCACTACTAGAGTCTAATGTTTTTTTGTGTGGTTCATACTCACACCACTGGTAAATAGCCTGCAGGCACAATGGCTCAACATAACAGAACCAGAAATATGCCCTGCTGAATGTCAGCTTCCTTCCAGGCTTTGATTCCAGAGGTTTTGGCAAAGTGACTTTTTTAGGTCTACTTTTTATCAGTTTTGCAGTTGGATGATCTGAGCTTGAATATTTTGGATGTCTTAAATAAAATGCTCTGGCAAAGCAACCCCCAAACAGGAATCTTTTTATAGCTCATTCTCCCCTTTTGTGTAGAAAAGAAATGATATAATAAGCCATGTCTTTAATCCTTAGGTCACTGTTTTCTGGAAGGGCTCAAGGTCAGGTTCCCAGGCCTTTGAGCAACCTGATCTGGTGAAAGATGACCCTGCCCATTGCAGAGGGGTTGACCTTTAAAGGTCTTTTCCAATCCAAACCATTCCTTTATTCCATGATTCTACGGTCTGTTAAATTTCCTACGTGCTGTGCACCACTGGCCATGTCATAGGCTGCCTAGAAGCTAAAATAAGCAGAACTCAATGAAAGCATGTCAGGTTGACTGATTGTCTCATTTGAACTGGAGAGACCAGTTCAGTTCTGGCCTCTGCCAGGCGATTCCTTTGTCACTGGGGGAAAATATCTACTAATGTTTTTATCAGGATAGAAAACACGTGGCCTTTAATGTCTATATAGAAGATGCCTATCTGCAAAAAAGGGAAAAGATGCTTTGCTTGTCTTGTCTATTCACTCTGAAAGCACTTGAGGGCAGGGATTGGCTTTATTCTTTGTTTGCACAGCGAGGAACCTGCCTCGTCTGCAGCTTTATTAAAATTTGAATTGGCTGCGTTACCAGGAGCTTAGAAGCACTGAGTCACTGCTGCTCCTAATGTTTGCTGTACTACAGTTAGTTCTTAGAGGGAACTGGGATTATTCCTCTTCCTTACTGGGGTGTAAAGGCTGATGACTACAAGGAGGACTACATATTAGCTGCTTGGGATGTCTGGAGTTTAAGCACCGCTGAGCAATGTCAGTATTGCAGATTGAACCTTCTATCCATGACTTCATAGGTGAAAATTTATTTTTGGAATGTATCCTGCTGGGCACCACTTTGGTGGCATTTGTGGTCATGCTGAGCTCAATGGAAACCTACAATTCTCTGCTTGGATGCTCACGGAAAGGGCCCGCTGAAATTGTGTTTAGCTAACAATATAGGACACTGTGTTATTTTAAACTTTGCATCTCTTCAAAGGCTGGAAAACTGCTACTCGGGAGTGTCATTACGGAAAGATTTCTGACTCCATGTAAATTCATTCTGCGCTAAGATGTTCTGCAGTACTACTGCTCACTTAGCAGCTTCGTCCTGCCCGTGGTAGGATGTCACCCAGGACATGCTGCAGATGAAGGTAGGAAGGGAAACAAGAAGGCTGCTGTGGGATGCAACAAAATTTTAATGAGCAAGAAATGCTTACGTTTGCAAAGCGAGATATCACAGAATACGAAAAATTGGTTTCTGGACAATTTCAGAGAATATTCAACAAATGTCCTGGTCGGTGATTTCGCTGTTCTCAGCTGGGTTTCTTCTGCCTGTTGTGCAACTACTGGTGATGATCCTTGCCATTAGAAGTGATGTCCATGTGGAATACATTGCCCCACGATGCTTAAAAAAATCCAGAAAGCTGGAACAGGCAACAATTGCAAAAACCAAACTAGAAACAAGAGGGCAGACAAAATGCAGAGAAGGATCAGAAAGGCTAAGCGGCAGTAGCTCCATTGCAGGGCTGCAGGAACGCTGAACCCCCATCATTGCTCTGCATTTGGGGCTTCACATGTGGCCCTTCCGAGACCTCTCTGAGCCTTTAGCAGGGCCCACAGTTGCTGCGAAGGAACCGGCTGTACCGGCGGGAGGAGTAGGGGCCGCAGTACCCGCTGCCGAGCGTGGAGAGGGCTGAGCTCCCATATCCATACTGGGACCCGTAGCCCAGAGAGCCCCCATAACCGTAGAGGCTCCCGGCTCCGTAGAGACCCCCCAGCCCCAGGTTGCCCCCAAAGGCGGGGGCTCCAGAAGATCCCACCACAGCTTGCTGGGGGAAGGAGCTGAGGATGGGGCCGGGGAAGGTGACGACGACCGGGGGTGGCTGGATCAGGGCAGTGGAGTCGGGGCACTGACGGACGCAGGGCTCGTTGCAGCTGTTAGCGAGGGGCTGAGGGCAGGCGATGCCGCTGGTGGTGGGGCACAGGTCGTAGCAAGACATGGCTTTGCAGGGGTGGAGGCGAATCTGAAAGACAGAGCACAGGGCTTGAGTAAAAACACAAGGTCTACCGGAACAACAGGTCAAGGTTGGGAGTTGGAGAACAGGTAAAAATGATCAGCGGATGCACGAGCAAAACTGATGATGCTTTTCACAACCTTTCCTCTCAATCAGCACTGCTTTAATCTTCCCCATCCAGTAATCCCTGTGCTTGTCACCTCCGCCAAGCCTTCTGAAACT